AAAAATAAATAAACGTTGAAAAAAAATTTTTTTAAAAAAGAAAAGAAAGCAGGAGGAAGGCCGGGGCTGGCTCGCGATGGGGCCACCGTCAGGACGGGGTCTGAGGGACGCAGGCCGGGCAGCGTCCCACCGGGCCACCCCTCGGGAATCGGCCTGCTGCTTTAGGCCCCCTCACGGCTCCTGGAGGTCGTGGCCGCCCCAGGTGCCCGGAGGAGACGGGCAAGTGTCTGAAGGCCAGGAACCCAGGCCCGGCTCCGAAAGCCTTTCTCCAAACTGAGCACGGAGGCACCTGGGGGTCTGGCTGCAGGCAGGGTCACCTCACTGCCTCCCGAGAGGCTGCCAGGCGCCGTGTCTCTCACCAAAGTTGGAGAGAAGTGACGGCAGTGAGCGGCTCGTCTCCGCCAAGAGAGCGTCAAGCTGGCCAGTCCCCACGGCCGGCACCCTGAGGCACCCGGGATCCTGCACCCCCACTCCTGCCGCCTCCTGGCTCACGCCTGGGCTCCATCTGGAGCGGTGCCACAGGCATCAGAGACGCCCCTGTGTCCCTGCAGACCCGGGGGGTACTGCTGGGACCAGAGTGGAGGGTCTGGGGGCACCGGGATGGGGGAGGCCTCCCGGCTGCCCCTGTTCTTTGCAGCGGGTGGGAGGAGATGGCCAGAAACGCTGGTTTCCAGAAGGCCAAGGGGGTGACCTCGCCTGCAGCTCTCAGGGGCACCCCCTCCCCTGCTGAGGTCCCCAGGGTCCAGGGGGGACCCCACACGAGAGACACCAGAAGGGAGCCGTTCCAGCACGGAGGTGAGCCCCCTGCTCTGCCCAGACAGCCTGCCTCCCCGAGGAGCACAACAGCGGCTGAGTGGTACAAACCGGCCAAGATTGGACCCCAAACAGTGGCTTCACCACGCGCCCCCCCGGGGGACACAGCCCCACGTGAGTTTGTGGCCCTGCCTCACCCTCAGGTTTGAATCATCCAATTACAGACTCGGGTTTGGACAAAGCCTCCCTGGGCCTCCCAGCCGGGTGCGTGGCACCAGGGCCCCGGTCCTCCCCGGTGCCCCCAAGATGGCTCTGCTCCAAATCACCCCTTTGTGCCACGAAGGCGTTGAAAGTCAAATTCCCTTTCCAAATATTTTGTCGTCACAGAACATTTCAAATGGTGTTTCGTAAGATGGCACACCAATCCTGATGTTCGCGTTAGATCCTGCCTCCCACATTCCTCCCAGAATCGAGCCTGGGGCAGGATTCCACTTGTATGCTCCCAGGACAGGAAGCTCACCCCCTACCCAGGCACCTTCTCTGCTCACCCACCTCCCCTCAGGATGTGTTCTGCGGCCACACGGAGAACAAGGCCACACTCTTCGGGGGAGGCCCCGAATCCCTCCAGGGGTCCTGGTGCCTCGGGTCAGTGCTGGAGGGCAGCAGGGGTGACAGGAGCTGGCCTCACCACCCCGCCCCTGCTGCCTTTGTGTCCTCTGGGGCAGCCAGAGGCTCAGTTCTCTGGGTGTGTTGACAAACACAGAGACACGCAGGACGCAACCTACCTCCTGGGCGGGCAGATGTGGTCAGAGGCCCCTGCCCAGCTGGAAACCACAGTGGGCGGGGAGGGGCGGAGGAGGGAAGGAGGGAAGAGGAGAAGGGACCGGAGGAGGCCACCATGCAGTCCTGGAGTCGAGTCAGGGTGGCCAAGTGCCAGCTGCTGGTCACCAGCTCCTTTGTCTTGGTAACAGGCTGGTCAGGTGGGAAGGGTGGGGGGCGGGACACGTTATCGGACCTCTAGGACTGTGGTTCCCCCACACCCAGCCCTGCTGTCCCTATCCTGCCCCTGGGACATGCACTTGGAGCCCCTGGTGGCAGACTCCTGGCAGGTGACTGTGGGGACAGGACGCCCCTGGGGGCCTAGCCAGGCAGCGCAAGTCAGAGGGGGCAGGGGGCAGGGAGAGGGGGCTGCTGGGGTGGGGTGGGCCCATCCTCCACTGTGCAGACAGAATGACCCAAGGTTCTGGGTCCTTTCGGTGGCTGGAAAAGGAATGTGTGTGGTGGGGGAGGGTGGGGAGTGAGTGTGTTGTTGGTGCATCTGTGTGTGCAACGTGGTGCCTGGGACAAGATGAGCCTGTCCCGAGTGAGACCATGAAGCTGAGGGAGGTTGGCCAGTGGACCCAGGACACCCAGACCCTGCTCTATGGGGCCCCGTTCTGCGCCCAGCCCTGCCCCAACACTGCGGGTCTGCCCCACCCCCAGCTACTGGGCCTTTCTATGGCCGCCATGGCAGCTGTCAACTACCTAGGGACACACTTTGCTGTCGTCGGCCGCGCATCCTCAGACAGGACCCCCTATGAGGCCACACGCCGCTGGGGTAAGTGAAGTCCTGTCGGGGTGGGGGAGGCTGCAGGTGCAAAGGCCATGGGGGGCATCCTGGGCTGGGGTGAGGGCCTCCTAGTGGAGCCAGGCTGGGCCAGGCAGTGGGTCAGGGTAGAGAGGTAGAGAGGGTCACCCCGGGGTCCTTCTCCACTGGGCAGAGCCAGGGCCCGGGACACAGCCTCTGCCTCTCCCTAGGTCTCCCGCCCTCCCTTGGGGGCCTGGGGACAAGCGAGACTATCACATGGCATCCAGATGGCCTCGTGTCCTGGAGGCGTTGCTCCAGGACAAAGGGGCCCGGACCTGGATGCACTCTGGGGGCTTGGTCTCAGGCAAGAGCACAGGACGCCAAGGAAGGCAACCGTGGGGGAGACTGAGGCCCACAGGATCGGGCCGTGGTCCCAGCCCCAGGCCTCCTGCCCCTTAGGCCCCAGTTTTTACCCTGAAGCCGGAATCCTGGAGCAGGAAGCCTGGGTCTTGAGCCTGGACCGATAAGACACCCCGCTCTTGCCTGGTGGCTTCCGAGATAGCCCGGGCGGGCGACTGCAGAAGCAGAAGTGGGGGGCGGGGCCTCGGGTCTCCTCCTTCCCTCTGGCCTTCTGAGCATTGGGAGGAGAGGGAGTGGGTGGTGGGCGGGACGTCCTGCCTGAGGGGGCGTGTGGACCTGTTCAGAGCTCCCAGAAGTCCACCCCCCAAGTGTACCCTTGGGTCGGATTTCCGACACAAGCCCTGTGCACTCCGGACCCCCGTCCGGGACACCCCTAACCTCCTCCTCTCTCTCCCCACCCAGCCTTCTGCACCAGCATCAGCCTGGCTGGGCTCCTGACCCTGGGCGCCGTGCTGGGTGCTGTAGCCACCGTGAGGGAGGCCGGAGGCCTCATGGCTGGGGTGAGTTCTCGCTGCCCCTCCCTCAGCCCCCCAGCCCCTGGGGCGGGATCAAGAGCGGGGAGGGCTGGGAGCACCCCTCACAGTGTCGCAACAGAGACAGAGGTCCCAAGGCTGTGCGCCAGCTGGGACCCCCATCCACCGGGGCCAACCAGGGCCCCTCTGCCAGGCCTCCTTTACTCCGTCATCCAGGGGGGCAGAGTCGGCCCTCCCAGGCCTGGAAGCCATTGCCAAAGGCCTGGGGAGGTCTGGTTGCATCATGCTGGAGGCTCTGGGAACCGGCTTCCATTTCCTGTTACGAGGACACGCGGGGAGGCAGGGATATGGCCCCCCCCACCCCTCTGGTGGCCAGATCACTGCAAGTCAGGGCTCGTGCGGTGCCCCAAGGCGGCCTGGAGCCCACACTGTTCCCTTGCAGCCGTGGGGAGGCTCTATCTGACTCCAGAGCAGCGGCCCCTTGTCCCCATCCCTGCCTCCCCAGACCCGTCCGTCCTGCCCCCTCTGGTGCGAA